TATAGTGATTTATAGCAAGTATATGATAATAAAATATCAGATTCATTTTTATTCGATTTATATAGGGTCATATCTTAATTTTATATGCATATGCACAGCGCCTTACAATGGCTCGGCTAAATTGGTCCGTGACATGATGTATAACGTATTTCATGTGATCTCCCTAGTTCCCTGCCAGTTCCTCGATAGTTCTAGGAGGGTTCCAGGAGCTGGCGAGTTTCTATAAATCACGAAATGATCGGTGAGAGGGCAGTCATACAGCATTTATAAGAAAATTTATGTCCATTAATTATGCAGTGTCAGTATCGATCAAAAAATATGGACACACGTGTCCACCAATCATGCAGTAGTCAGAACAGATATTGCCCCCGAAGCACTTTAGCAATTACGTATTTAATGTTATCCTTAGACAAAGCTATTACCCATATTTACATCCACATCGATGCTGTCTTGCACATATACTCAAAGCCAGAGAAAAAAATGCCAAGACTTTGATCGTTACCAATGGTAACGGTTTTTGCCAAAGTATTTTGTGTGACTTTTTAGACTGCGGTTCGGAGAAAATTTTTCCGTAATGACATTATGGAGTAAAGTCTGCTGAATCGCGTGATTTGCACAATCAGCCATAAATAGAATTTTTTTTTAGATTATCCATCAGTCTTTCTTTCATTTTTTTTTACTTGCTCCAAACTGGCTCGGAATGGCCTATTATATTTATAGGAGCGTTTTACCATCTCGCCTCGTTACCCGTCAAGTCATGCTCTCTCAACCACAAAAATTTGCGATAAGAAATTCAAACCCTGTTCTATTTCAATCGTCGCTTTCGAGATCTTACACAAACTCTACCTCTCCTTCGCCTTCCCCCCAAGATGTCTCTAGTTCCTCCTCCTACCTGAACAAATTTGCAAAAGCCACTGCAAAACGGCTTCCGGTATGAGATTTTCATTGTTGTGCATTTTTTATTTCAAGTTCTCAACATGTTTCGTTATTTGTAGGCTGTCATTATTGGGAAATTAGTTGTAGCTGGCGTTATTGGTTTGATATCGGTGGATCTTCTTTATGCTGGGTATCGGAACAGACGCAATGAGCGTCTTCTTAACAAGACTGTAGAAAAGGGCACTCGACCTAAAATTGATGTTTCGGATGATGAGTTTGTTCCCCGACCTCTAGTTGTAGATCGTCTTAAAAAAATTCTTCAACCGAATAGAAATCAATCATATTATCATGTGGTTTGTGGAGAACACGGTACCGGGAAAACCACATTAACCAGAAGGGCATCAAGAGAAGTAGGGCAGGGTGTCATATACGTTGAAATTCCTGCTGATGCAGAAGATATAGAGGATTTTGGCATAGCATTTGGAGAATCTCTTAACTTTGCATTTGAGGAACGTATCTCTTTTACGGCACAGCTTATGAAGAAAATATTAGGTGATACCAATGGTAAGTTGATCATTATTATCCTTTACAGCTGAAGCTTTTGATCCTAGTGTTTCTCTTTATAGGTAAAGATGAGCGTCCCAAGTGGAAAAGAGCCTTGGAGGCCTTCAAGCGTGCTAGTGCAGTGTACAAAGAAAAACATAATAAACCTTCAGTCATAGTTTATGACAACATTGCCAAATTAGTTAATGTGAACCCAAAAGTTCTTGATACTCTTCAAGATGATGCTAAAATGAATGCTGATCACCGAGAGTACGTTGCTGTATTTGTCAGCAGTGAAGGTTCTGTGCCGAGAAGAATGGAATGTAAGTATGACATTATTTTTTGTGCTTTCGAAAAGTAGTATTACTTACAGAGCGTGATTCTTATTTAGCTCGCAGTGCTTGGTCACGTGCAAAAAAACCTGTGATTGAAATTGGCGACCTTAGCAAAGAAGAATCAATGAAATATCTAACTGAGAAGCGCAAGATCAATGAAGTAGATGCAAAAAATATATATGAATTGGTTGGTGGACGCATTGTAGATCTAAAAACTGTGGCAGATGATTTTCTTGCCAAACAACCCTTTGAAGGTATAAATTGGTTTCATTATTTTCGCATCAAATGAATTTACACAATTCTGCTTTGGACTAATTTCTTGATTCTTTTCCTGCAGTCATTAAACAGTCAATTTTAGATGAAGTTGAGAAGAAATTTGGCACAGCACGACTCCTTCCAAATGATCCATATTACGAAGTAGGAAAGAGTATTTTTAGTGATTTGAAAGAGTCTAACGAGCTTAGCTTTTTAGAATTTAAGAAATATTTCGATAATATTAATGAATTAAATGAGGTGTTGGGAAGCAACATATTTGCATATCATCCGGCAAAAAACACTGTTACATTTCAATCTCAATCGATAAAATGTTATATTCTTGAAAAGGGTGATATGTTTCTTAAAAAGAATTGATTTTTTTTTATAATATAGAATTTGTATAGAAATTTACAAAATAAAGATATAATAATAAAGCTTTTTATTGATATAGCAAAAATGTGATACACACAATAGTTAAGAGTATAAAATGCTAGAGAAGCAAATGAAATGTATGATGCTATCAAAGAGGGAGGGAGTACGCGGATCCTAGGCCATTTAATGCGAGTCCCAGCATCA